CTAGGTCAATTTCGCATTTCCCGTCGATTGATTACGTTTGACCATGATGCTAGATCTCTGACAACATCTCGGCTTCCAGTACAGATGTATCGAAAGTACCTAAGGCTTAAACGTGAAGTTGTTTTGGTTGGTGGTGACCACCAGGATGATATCTCTTGCACAAAAGGTAGCTCTCGTGGCCTAGCAGCCTTTGAAACGAAGGGTGCTGGGTCCACGTCTCCTCAGTAAGAACACCATCACTCAGTGGGAGTGAAGGCTTATCATGATGACGAGCTCTGAATAGGACGAAATGGGCATCCTAGATTCCACTGCTAGTCACCAACAACAACCAAGATATGATATACCAAAACTTACATCACTATTTTGTAAAACAAAAATCAGCACCAAGAAATTTGCTACACACACACAGAGTAACAGTACAAGGCGAGAAGAAAAAAAGGTTAGAGAATTACAGAGCAGTGAGCAGGTCCATAAAACAAAAACACTTAAGAGATATCACATACACAAATTTTCCCTTATATATTTGAACAAGGATACCACAAACTCTCTGGTGAAGAATAGCATGGAACAATTTTGTTTTGCTGATTCTCTCCAGCTGCGTAAAACCTATAGTACTTAATAAAACCTGTTAAAACTGTATTATAACTGGTTTTATTGAATATTATGGGTTGTACTCAGCCGAAGATGACCAACGACGTAAAATAGATCCCAATTATTTTGCACCAATGTTTGTTCTATCTTAGCTCAAATTTATGGAACAGTTCGTCTTTACATTTTTCACCCCAGACATTTTGTATGAATCATTTGACGAAAGACACCAGAACTGTGGAAGCTTCTGAGATAAGTGAAATAGTATTTTTCCTTTATTACAGCTTGACTCCACACCGTATTTTCGGTACAAGTATGGAATTTTCAGCATGTGATATCGGTATCCCAAAAATTTTGCAGGCCGACCATAGATATCGGGAGTGCGTCGGCAGGAGATCGAACCCCAGACGATGTGCGTGGTCGACGAGAGTCCTAACCACTCTGCCACCGACGCACACGTTAAACAAATCCACTCATTATACTTAAACAAGGTATGCATTGAGAACATTTCTGAAGCAAAACTTTACGCTTTAGAAGACAGAACCACTAGTTAATACCTTGTCAGTATGTTCTCCTAACACGAATAAGCCAACCAAGATCTCTTTCTTGGATGTTAAACTTTAGAAATCTTATGTGGAAATGCGAATCTCTACAGATATGTGAAGCATGAAAACGTCTCGATTCATGTGCACATCCAGGTTGTTATTATTATTAATTATTTCCGACTTTTCTGTATTTCTCAAGTAACCCCTTGTAAATTTCATTTTCTCTTCTAATTTCCCTTGCGATGCAGTTTAGTGATGCGAGAAACTAACAGATCAAACTAAAACTAAAAATCAGTCAACGAAATCCTTCATAGGTAGTTTGAGCCACGTAGAAAGGTGTAGGCTTCATGCCTTGGGTCCTCAGGACTCCAAGAACCAATGACTGGAGACAACACTTGGTGATATGAAATCGATCTCAATGATGGCGCGAATGTATTCGCTTTTACTGTATCCGCTTTTCTATGTTACTATTCTTTCTCCATCACACTTCTACTTATTATGGGATTTTTTAATCCCTTTTTCTCTTATCTTCTTTCAATTGCTTCATGGAGTGTGACAACTGCGACTGGAGCAGTTCCCTGTAAAGCGCTATGCTGAAACCAGTAAGTCAGTCACTGTGTGTCAGACCATATGACCAGATATTGATATTTAAAGCAGACTGTACGAACAAATCCGTCTTTATTATACATTCCGGCAGTGTAAATAGCTTGCAAACCAAAATCAATCTTCCGTAAACTTTTCTTGCAACATTTAGTTAGTACACTACTTTTTACAAATTAAGTAAAGGCGAAGCAATGCAACATAAAGCGTTATGCATAAAAAAAACTTTTCCTAACGTGTATAAGATTTTCTTTTACAAGTGGCATCACTTATGTAATCACTATGATGACGCATCAAAAAGGAAATGAACATATATCTTTATAACGCATAAATCTGTGGAGACTTTTTCTTTCGTTCACGTTCTCAGTGGAACATAGAGCCTCAAGCTAGTGGCCTGAAGTTTCTGTAGCAGTGTGTTTATTTTTACAGGATGGGGTTGCTAACCTCATGCCCAACCTTTCCTCTTTACCAGCTTTTTATTTCTGGATTAGCGAGGTAAAGGAGTGCGTCCAGTGGCCGGGAATCGAACCCCAGACGATGTGCGTGGTCGACGAGAGTCCTAACCACTCTGCCACCGACGCACACGTTAAACAAATCCACTCATTATACTTAAACAAGGTATGCATTGAGAACATTTCTGAAGCAAAACTTTACGCTTTAGAAGACAGAACCACTAGTTAATACCTTGTCAGTATGTTCTCCTAACACGAATAAGCCAACCAAGATCTCTTTCTTGGATGTTAAACTTTAGAAATCTTATGTGGAAATGCGAATCTCTACAGATATGTGAAGCATGAAAACGTCTCGATTCATGTGCACATCCAGGTTGTTATTATTATTAATTATTTCCGACTTTTCTGTATTTCTCAAGTAACCCCTTGTAAATTTCATTTTCTCTTCTAATTTCCCTTGCGATGCAGTTTAGTGATGCGAGAAACTAACAGATCAAACTAAAACTAAAAATCAGTCAACGAAATCCTTCATAGGTAGTTTGAGCCACGTAGAAAGGTGTACGCTTCATGCCTTGGGTCCTCAGGACTCCAAGAACCAATGACTGGAGACAACACTTGGTGATATGAAATCGATCTCAATGATGGCGCGAATGTATTCGCTTTTACTGTATCCGCTTTTCTATGTTACTATTCTTTCTCCATCACACTTCTACTTATTATGGGATTTTTTAATCCCTTTTTCTCTTATCTTCTTTCAATTGCTTCATGGAGTGTGACAACTGCGACTGGAGCAGTTCCCTGTAAAGCGCTATGCTGAAACCAGTAAGTCAGTCACTGTGTGTCAGACCATATGACCAGATATTGATATTTAAAGCAGACTGTACGAACAAATCCGTCTTTATTATACATTCCGGCAGTGTAAATAGCTTGCAAACCAAAATCAATCTTCCGTAAACTTTTCTTGCAACATTTAGTTAGTACACTACTTTTTACAAATTAAGTAAAGGCGAAGCAATGCAACATAAAGCGTTATGCATAAAAAAAACTTTTCCTAACGTGTATAAGATTTTCTTTTACAAGTGGCATCACTTATGTAATCACTATGATGACGCATCAAAAAGGAAATGAACATATATCTTTATAACGCATAAATCTGTGGAGACTTTTTCTTTCGTTCACGTTCTCAGTGGAACATAGAGCCTCAAGCTAGTGGCCTGAAGTTTCTGTAGCAGTGTGTTTATTTTTACAGGATGGGGTTGCTAACCTCATGCCCAACCTTTCCTCTTTACCAGCTTTTTATTTCTGGATTAGCGAGGTAAAGGAGTGCGTCCAGTGGCCGGGAATCGAACCCCAGACGATGTGCGTGGTCGACGAGAGTCCTAACCACTCTGCCACCGACGCACACGTTAAACAAATCCACTCATTATACTTAAACAAGGTATGCATTGAGAACATTTCTGAAGCAAAACTTTACGCTTTAGAAGACAGAACCACTAGTTAATACCTTGTCAGTATGTTCTCCTAACACGAATAAGCCAACCAAGATCTCTTTCTTGGATGTTAAACTTTAGAAATCTTATGTGGAAATGCGAATCTCTACAGATATGTGAAGCATGAAAACGTCTCGATTCATGTGCACATCCAGGTTGTTATTATTATTAATTATTTCCGACTTTTCTGTATTTCTCAAGTAACCCCTTGTAAATTTCATTTTCTCTTCTAATTTCCCTTGCGATGCAGTTTAGTGATGCGAGAAACTAACAGATCAAACTAAAACTAAAAATCAGTCAACGAAATCCTTCATAGGTAGTTTGAGCCACGTAGAAAGGTGTACGCTTCATGCCTTGGGTCCTCAGGACTCCAAGAACCAATGACTGGAGACAACACTTGGTGATATGAAATCGATCTCAATGATGGCGCGAATGTATTCGCTTTTACTGTATCCGCTTTTCTATGTTACTATTCTTTCTCCATCACACTTCTACTTATTATGGGATTTTTTAATCCCTTTTTCTCTTATCTTCTTTCAATTGCTTCATGGAGTGTGACAACTGCGACTGGAGCAGTTCCCTGTAAAGCGCTATGCTGAAACCAGTAAGTCAGTCACTGTGTGTCAGACCATATGACCAGATATTGATATTTAAAGCAGACTGTACGAACAAATCCGTCTTTATTATACATTCCGGCAGTGTAAATAGCTTGCAAACCAAAATCAATCTTCCGTAAACTTTTCTTGCAACATTTAGTTAGTACACTACTTTTTACAAATTAAGTAAAGGCGAAGCAATGCAACATAAAGCGTTATGCATAAAAAAAACTTTTCCTAACGTGTATAAGATTTTCTTTTACAAGTGGCATCACTTATGTAATCACTATGATGAAGCATCAAAAAGGAAATGAACATATATCTTTATAACACATAAATCTGTGGAGACTTTTTCTTTCGTTCACGTTCTCAGTGGAACATAGAGCCTCAAGCTAGTGGCCTGAAGTTTCTGTAGCAGTGTGTTTATTTTTACAGGATGGGGTTGCTAACCTCATGCCCAACCTTTCCTCTTTACCAGCTTTTTATTTCTGGATTAGCGAGGTAAAGGAGTGCGTCCAGTGGCCGGGAATCGAACCCTGGACGATGTGCATGGTCGGTGAGCGTCCTAACCGCTCTGTCACCAACGCACAATCTGTGGAGATGAAAACAACATACACAGATGTAATTCTACAATTGCCATAGGCTAGTGACTGTTTAAACTTGCACAATTTTTAACATCCACAGAAAAAAAGGTGAACACTAAGCTATAAATTCAAATTTAACACTCACCTAGTATTGTCAAGTAACATTTGTTGCGCTTCACTCCATGTTGTTCGATAGGTAAGATCAAGCATCTCGCTTAGAATTTCATTAAATACTCTTATATTTCGTTTGCGAAGTATCTTAGCTTCTTCTCTTTCACGTTTTCCAATCTCTTGCATAACATCTTCAAATATCTCACGACGATCACGATCTGGAACATCAGTCCATTCTTTTGTATCTGACAGTAACTGGTCTACTCTGCGATATGACATAGTTGAATGCAATTTATTGCACTTTAATAAATACTTTTCTAAGTCTTCTTTTGCTCGTTTGATTCTTATTCTTTGTTCTTCTCGTTCTTCTTTTAATCTCTGAGTTTTGTATACATTAAATATCTGCTTTTTCTCATTAAACGTTTTCAAGACAGCATACCTAGGATCTCCAGATATAAGTTTCAATGCTTGTTCCCATGTTGAAGCACCTGGAACATTACAATCTCTAAAAAGCCGCCTAAGACCTTCTGCCATTTCTGCTCTCGTTTTATATTCCGGTACAGCAGGTTGTGTACTTGAAGGAACTGTAGTAGCTGACTGTGAAGTGTTTACCGGTTTTTCTTCATCACTCTCCTCCTCACTTTCGTCTAACTTTTCTGGAGGAAGCGGAATAGGAATTGACGCTGTTGCTGCATCTGATGCCTCGATAGAGGCTAAAGTTGCTTTCATGGCGCGTTCTATTTCTGAAGGCTCAGGTGGTTTATTGGCATCTTCTTTAGGTGTCGCTGGTGTACACGGTGTAACAGGTGGTATGCCATTTGGTGGCTCAGGGATTGAATTATTTGATGTCGGGGTACAAGCTGCAGCTTGGTTTTCAGCGTCTATTAGTTCTTGTGGTTTTACCCAAACCGACTGTTTTGTAATTTCGTTGTAATAATAAGGTTTCCCATTCTCAGACTTAAACTCTTTCCATGGAGAATTAAAAAGTATTTTCTCTCGCTGAGTTTTTAATTCTTGAGGTTTCTCCCATGTAGTTTGATGAGTGTAGGGGTTAAAATAATATTTTCTACCATCATGAGAATAATGTTCTACCCAACCTGCATTGATTTGCACAGCTGATAACTGAGAGACAGATGTAACTGGATTGGGCACAAAATTTGGATGAGCATATCCGGGGTATCCAAGGTGTGGTGTGACGAAAGGATGTGGAAAACCTGCCATTCTCAAATACTAAGATTAATGGCTGCAAACACGAATTCCAATTGATGTATGCTAGATAAACTTTGTGATTACACTTAGGTTAGATAGTTCCACGGAATCCAGTACGCAAGATTTACTCTCGTTTAATCAGTTTTTGTAGGTAAATGCAGCTTGGCAAGATCTAGTAAAAAATAAAATTGAGATTATTATGAGCAGAGCTCACTATATGAGGTCTAAAAAACGACTTATTTTGGAAATAATGTCATTATGATGATGGACGATTAAGTGTAGCCCAAATATTATCCAACAAATAATACTCACACCATCTGATAAAACAAACAAGCAGAACAATAATGGAAATACAACGATTTACAAATAATTAGACTGTGTACTACAAACTGCAACAAAGAAAAGATCTCTTGAAACCCAGTTGACTAGATCAGAATTTTTACATGCCATACGATGAACTATATTATGTGTGGAGGGACGGTGCCGCTCAGGTTCGGTAAATTAGGACTCAGGATGAAATCAAACTGTTAAGGCTAAACAACCATAAGTCGACAAACAAAAAGGTCGTGTTTGGAAGACCCAAAGGAGGTTGCCTGGTAGCCTTGAGCCGTTCCTGTATTTGAATATACCAATAAATTCAGTAATGAGGTTTGAATACGGCGTATTGTGAAAAGGTTGGAACACAAAGTGTGTAATTATGCCACAAAACAGTTTGACACTTGTGAAGGTGTGATTGGGATATAATGCGCGGTAAAATCCAGAAGAAACAAGGTTACGAGATGCCTTTAAGAAAGTATCCAACATGGCTTATGATATTCTAGCAAGACAAGAAAAGATCTTTCACTGACCTCCACCCTATATCACAATTGCCAACAACCCATGCTACTCAACTTCCTTAATTTTGGATACGCTGATGGATGCATAATCAGAAAAGCTAGAGTACTTGTACGGTGGCGTAATCTAATCTAAGATACTCGAATGAAAAAAGAAAAGTTTGAGATAGGCAAGTCAGACGCCATACATACACTTGACAAAAAATCAGAGTTAACTTGAACTGCCAAATTCAGAAAATATCACACCACAGAAGACAGCTCAAAATCAATACACCAAAACCTTCACAGAACCTGAGACCGTCCCCAAATGCCAGCAGCTATGAACTTACTAAAATAAATTGCTTTGTATGGCGCATGTTCAGGAAAGTTTAATAAAAACAATAGTCTAAGATAGTATGAAGATAGTCTTCCAGTTTTTGGGTTGCATTGTAAGCCCAGTTGACAATTAGCAACAGCTTTCCATTAAAATTCAGTTAATCACTCATAGACACGTGGCTTTCGAGTGAACGGCAATCCAGAAGTGCGGACATATAACAAACGAAAGTTGGAAGATAACACATACCTGAGTACTAAAATGTGTCAAATATGAACTAGACAAGCAACACAAGAGTATCAGGCTTATGTTATGTCGGAATAACCATGGGTGAGAAAGTCATGGTCGAACTCAACAATGTTTGTCGATGAATGACCATGCAAAATTTAACAAGCCGTCACTCTATTTTAAGTCAGACCGACTAACCGTCACAAATATTTATGCAAAATAATTCGGAGTAAAATGAGTATATTCCATGGTAGTTTCGGGAAAGTGTTAGTTTGCCAGTGTCTATAATTACGGCTCCTAAACTAATAGGAACAAGCTAAAAGACTAGTACAACATAAAATAACAAGCCTCACCAATCACATAAGATTAAATCAATAGAATATCCTTGTAAAATCCCCGTAAGTGAAAATGAAGCTACACCAGCGACTTTCTTAAGCAGCCCGCTTGTTAGCATCTATTGTTCAATGGTATATAGAAGGGCTACTGTAAAACCACTTATTCTGCATTCTCACCCAGCTAAACATCAGCTCTTTATTTTCCCTGGATTCAGTTTTTACACATTTTCTTAACTCAGAGTGTAGCTTCATGTCTGTATGCTGCAGGGTGCGTTTAATGATGACCTTCCATTAAACAGTGTCTTTGACAAGCCTATGTAAACCTTGTTATTTCTTGACATTCACCACCTGCCGTTTCGGAAAGGCTCGAGATATTTCCTAAATTCCGTCAAGATCTATCCCATCGACTGCTTCAGCTTAGCCAACGCAACGAGAGTTTATTTTGGAGGTTACTTATGGTTTGTACTAGGGTGGAGTAGCTTCTAGGTTTGGCAAAATATCGTCTCACCAAACACTTATTCGGTAAGGTTGACCGGTACTATCAAAATGCCTAAAAAATCAGTGGACTGCAAAAATAAAACTTAGAGCAAGAGTACTGGATGGGAGACAGACAAGAAAATGTGGGCACGTGAATACGTAATTATAACATAAAAACATTATAAGACAGACAAGCGTGGAGCTGGTAATAAAATGTATAATACAACAGTGAATTACAGAGCAGTAGGTGGGGTGTTTGAGTACTGGTACAGACCTATAGGAGAAATTTACGCCCCAATTAGCTGAACTCTAACGTACAGTTTAGTCGTTTAGAGGCTGAAGGTGTTGACGCTAACGGATAGTGCGAGATCTAACACCCACAACCTCTACAGTATTCGCTCCGCGTAGATCAAAGACAGATCAAAACACCACAATTGACTGGCCAAATTATATATATTATATATATTATATTTCGGGACCAAATCAGAGCGCAAGGGTGATTGCTTAACTGGCTAGAAACCATGCACGAACAAATGAACGTAACTCGACGGCGTGCCAAATGTTCTGCATGATTGATCGTGAGCCTTCAGCTGAACAAATCAACTTCAACAGTAGGGGTCAGCGTCCAGTGTTCAATGATGAATGCTGTGGCTAATAATTCTGTGGAGTAGCCCACCGCTGCTGTCGTAACAGTGTTATCCTTCCTGGCTATCTTTGGTTTTGTGACGACTATTTTTCGGTCGCTGAATTTCATGAATGGCGAATCCAATGTGACAAGAATTTATTCCATTATGGGAAAACTTATTTCGATAAAACCCGACAGTGATATTTACTGATGAAGTTTTAAGCACAGTTTACTGCTTATAACCATATCAAGTTCATAAAATCTACACCCAACACTTATAATAGTGATGACTCGTCGGCAATACCAGAGATGTGGAAAATGCCATTGCCAATCAAATTAACAGGCGATGAATATTGGAATTATATCAACGAAGTCGTAGGGCTGCGTGGGTACCTCGATATGATAATAGGCAACAAATTGTGCTCCAAAAGTCATCAATAAATACCACTGTATAACACTGTGTGACTCGACCAAAGAAAATTTTCTCCATAATGGCATTATAATCTACCACACTGTCCAAGTTCTATTCTTATAGGAAAGAAGTCAGTCTTTACCTTTACTGCTCCTTTATGGTCAGGAATTCCAAAACGGTTTCTCCAGGTTTGGGACAACCTGCTAACTAAGTGAGCTACTAGAACCCATCATATATATATGGCGGCCTGTTTGACATCTGGGCTACCTTTTTCGTGCATCTACATATTGCATCTAATAAGTCATGTTTTCATTCCTAATTTTAATAAAATATGATCACAAATCGTATAAAATACAGTAATTCATTCATTAAACGTTTTAAACCATATGACTTTCATGCAACTAATATTGCATCTAATAAATCTAAGAGAAAACATCATGCTGGCTGGCAGCGTGCACTTAAACAGACACCTTTATATCGTACAACCATTCCTGTTATTGTCACTTCAAACTGCCGTTCACTTCCCAACAAAATTATGCATCTCCAGTCTCTCTTATCATCTGATACTTATCACAATACGGCGATTGTTGCATTACAAGAAACATGGCTCCATGAACTCTATGATGACAATCTGGTTTCCCTAAATGGTTTTACATTGTTTAGACAAGATCGACTATGCTCCAGAAAGAAAAGAGGTGGAGGTGTTGCAACTTTCATTCATTCTCAATGGTCAACTTCAAATAATGTATGTTTTTCTTACTCTAATGACTTTATTGATTGTATAACGGTCAAATGCCGCCCGAAACATTTATCCAAATTCAAATACGTCTTCATCTCTAACATTTATGTTACTCCTGGCTGTTCTGCATCTGATCTATCTGATTTTGCTGATGAATTCACTGAATTTGCCGTTACACATCTTGAAAACTCTTTATCAGTTGTCACAGGAGATTTTAACTGCTGTGATTGTTCTTTCCTCGTATCATTAGGTCATGCCAATATTGTTAAATTCCCTACTCGACTTGATAAAACCCTTGACCTGGTGTTCATTAATGATGAGGAAATATATGAAGTACGCCGACGTGCTCCTATCATGAACTCAGATCATTGTATTATTCGGATATTACCTAAGATATACAGCAGATCTCACTTTAATATCTTCTCAAATCTGTCCAAGAGAACACAGCAAAGGTGTTACTCACAAGAAAATATGCTCAAACTAAGATGTATGCTAAATGACACTAACTGGGAACTTTTCAACGAACACAAACTGGATGATACTATTTCCAATTTGACTGACTATCTTAAATTCTGTCTTGATATATGCTGTCCAAAACAGATAATTTTCAAAAGAATGGATCGTTTTTCTTCCCCTCATCTCAAAAAACTTCGTAGAGAAAAAGAGAAGCTGTACAAGACAAAGAATAAATCTGGTCTTAAGAAGATAAACACCCAAATTAAATCTGAAATCAAGAGACTAAACAACATTTATAATCAAACAATACTATCTTGTAAAACATCAGAAAACATATGGAAGCTTTTTAGAGAAATTACTGGTTGTGGTAAGCATAATAATTTTGCCTCTTCTATTGATGTAAATACTCTCAATAGATCTTTCATCCGCCCTCCAAATGTCCTTTCTGCCTTCAATTTAACTAATAACACGACCAGTGACTTTCATCGTTTCAATACTTCTGATGTTCTTAAATGTTTGAAATCTCTTAAACCTTCCCAGAGTCTAGGCCCTGATGGTATACCTGCCATTGTTTTAAAGAAATGTGCTGATATTTTAAGTAACCCACTTACAAGCATTCTCAATACTTCTTTTTCTAATAATAATGTACCTTCTCTGTGGAAAGATATTAAAATCATCCCTGTACCCAAGTCTGGTTCTGGAGATAGTGTTAAGTTTAGACCAATTGCCATTACCTCTCCTTTCTTGAAACTGATGGAGAAATTACTTTTACAAAAACTCATTCCCTCCCTAAGCTTCTCAAATGATCCAAAGCAGTTTGCTTACAAACAGGGTAGAAGTACTTTGGATGCTGCTGCTGTGTTTCATCACAACATTGTATCCTCCTTAGACAAAGGGGCCAAGTATGTCCGTTGTACTTTCCTTGATTACACATCTGCTTTTGACTCTGTACCTAGAGGCCTTTTGTTAAACAAGCTTAGCCTTACACAAACTGAGTCCTGGGCTATCAACTGGCTGCACTCTTACTTCTCCAATAGGATGCAGTACACGGTATATAATGGTGTAGCTTCCTCTCCTTTGCTTACTGAAGCTGGTGTTCCTCAGGGTGCTGTTCTCTCGCCGTTTCTCTTTTCCTTCTTCTTATAATAATAATAATAATAATAATAATTTATTTTCATATAAACATAAATTTACATGAAAATGCATGCCATTTTTACAGGCACGATCAAGGATGATATAATGTCAAATCTTAAATTGTCTACAAGTTAATAATGTTTCAACAGTTAAATATTTGATATATATATATACGCTCATTGTCTGAACCAGGCCGGATAGTTATTGAATTGTACATTTGTCCTCCAGGTTGAGCGGGAAAATCGACTTCGTTTCGTTTTCATCCCGTGGTTGTAGGCATACGATAACCAACCAATATTGAGGTAAGTACAACTTTTACAAGGGTTTGGAAGCTGTTTTAGAAAAGTTAAAGTGCTAAGGTGAAACATTAAAGTGTAATAGATTAAGTGAGTGAAATATATCATTAATAAACACATTTATATAGAAAACAGAATGGGGAAGTAATTAATCCTTAGGCCGACAACGTTCATTTGCAATGTATAATGAAACCAATATATTTTATACTATCATGCGTTCACTTTTGGCTTTAATACAATTATTTTCAAGCCAGTTGTCTTTATTTCATGTCTTTTTTTCTATTTGGTGCACAACCGTACCCTCCAGAGAATAGGAATAGAATAAGTCGAATGAAATTCATAAAAAGCTATAAAATGTTAGGTTTAATGGAATATAATGAGAATCAAGTAAAGACGTTATTAGAAAATAAGTGAGACAAGATATTGTGAAGTGGTATTTAAAGATCTGACAATGGATAGCAAGTTAATTTATAAGATGCCCATAAATCTGTGCAGATCCCACGTGGTCGCATCTCAACAATAGGCTGAGCGAATGGTATATATTTAAAGGTAGAAGCATTATCTGTCAAGGCTTTCACTATTATCTTTTTCAAGATAAAGATCTAAGCCCTCATAAAAATCAGAAATATCTCGAGCCTTTAATTTGTATATTGCTGTTCCTGCAGAATGGGGCGATTCACCTTAGTGACCACCACCATATCTACTGATCAGCTAACGCCACCCTCCCTCCTTACATGACTTACCTCTCTCAGACGAAATCAACTTCGTCAAATATGCAGATGACCTGACTGTTTCGCTTCCCGTTAAGTCTCAGTCAGACTGCTTCAAATTAAATAGCTTCCTGTCGGACATCAGTCAGTGGTCTAAAATAAATGGCCTAACGCTGAATCCCTCAAAATGCCAGACTGTCGACTTCTCCTTTAGGCATAAACGAGATCTACAAACACTAGTAAGCACTCATGATGTCTGTAGAATCGAGGGGACTATAATTGAAACAAAGTCTA